GGACATCCCCAGTCCCAGAGACATCCCCAGTCCCAAAGGACATCCCAGTCCCACAGGACATTCCCAGTCCCAGGGATGTTCCCACTGGCCCAGCCCCTCATTTGGGGTCCCAGCAGGGCCAGAACCAGCAGAGCCCCCAAAGTGCCCCCAGACTCATTTCTGGGCTCTGCCCCCAGGACTGGGGGTGACCCCGGTGTTACATCAGAGGGGGTAAAACTTCCCCCAGGAGGTTCCTGGGTGTTCACCTGAGCCTAAAGGTGCATTTGAGCCCCCGAGCTTTGTGTTTCCCCTTCCAGCAAGGCACATCTGAAACAATCCTTCCTTCCTTCCTTCCTTCCTTCCTTCCTTCCTTCCTTCCTTCCTTCCTTCCTTCCTTCCCTCCTTCCCTCCTTCCCTCCTTCCCTCCTTCCTCCCTCCCAATATAAATACATATTAAAATATCAGCTTTATACACATTTTAAGATGAATGCTACATGTATAATGTTAAAGTAACTTTGCTATAAAGATATAATTTTTTGTTTCTGTTGTTAACTAAACTTTGACAGAGCAGTGAAATAGCTGATAGTTATTGTGAAAAAATGCATATGATATGATTGGCTCTTTGCAAATATTAAAATGAATTATATATGTGTTATGTTGGAAAGTTATGCTGTATTAATCTCTTTTAATTTATTACTTTATGCTGTATTACTATATTTTAATTTATGCTGTATTAATCTCTTTTAATTTATTACTTTATGCTGTATTAATCTCTTTTAATTTATGCTGTATTAATCTCTTTTAATTTCCGCTGAATTAATCTCTTTTAAGCAGTGTAGTAAATACAGGTTTTAAGCTACAGCACAACATTAAAACAGAAACTAAATGATAGAAGATACTTTCTGTAACTAGCCCAAAGAGTGGCAAAGACAATCAGGAAATTCTTTGTTATCCCGTCTGGGCAGAGGCAGCAGCACGGACACCGAGACCCCAAGGAGGAATTACTGCCTCCTTAGCAGGACAGCTCAGACTTTGAGGAAGCACGAAGGCTGATTTAGGCTGATTCACAAGACGGGGGAGCTAAAATGAAGCAGAAACAGCCAGGTTTGAAAGGAATGTTTGCATCCTGTACCAGATCTGTCAATCTGCAGCAGGTGACTGCTTTTCTGGGAAATCCTTCGGCACCAAGGTGGGTTTGTGGCTCGGTGCCAGGCACCTCGACATCCGTGATTCTTTGCTTTTTATTGTCTTTTA